ATGAGCAAAGACCCATGCATACCGAGACAAAGTATCACATTATTAGAGGTGATTCGCGCAACCGATAAACGAAGTCCTATCAAAAAAGGTGTTACGTACTCTTGCCGATGCACATGCGTACTCTTAACCATAGTACAGTGTAAGAGAACGCAAATCCCATTTTGCACTTTTTTATCAATAACAACCACATTATTAAATTTAACTACTTTTCACATTAGTATGTAAAAGTCAGATAAGTAGATTATACAATAAAATAATAGCTGGTTTTCTAACACTTTTTGTTTTCATTCTACTCCGTCTCAAACCTTAAGTGCGTCGTTTTAAACCAGGCTACCCTACGTTAGGCAACACTGTTCTCAATTCAGATCGATTTTGAAAACAAAGGGACGAAAATTATTATGACCTCAGCAATATTATAAAAATATTCTATAATTCTTTTGTTATAACGTTTAGTAACCGCCAAGAAGTATAAATGCGAGTTACGCAGTGCCAGCTTCGACCTTATGCGCCGTTTGGGGACCAAGCTTGCCTCTTTTGCAGCAGTTAGCAAGTCCTTTTGGTCCTTGGGCAAAGATGTCGAAACAAAATTTTGCCGTCTTTCTTTACCACCTCTGTTACGGAAGAGAAACTTTTTGCCTCGCTCTAAGCAGAGAATTCGCGTTTGGATGCCACAGGCAACCTACCACCTTTTTTCTATTAAATATATAAATAAGTGCGCATTTGACCTCCATCTCACCTGATGGAAAGTGACGATGAGGTCAACGATGTAGCATACACACCTATATAATGCCTCTTCACTCTCGCCTTGGAAAAACTCAAATAATGTTCAGAGAATAAATTTACATTGGGCGATAGAGTTCCGGAGTTCCTCAGGATTCCGCAATGCCCACAAATCTCTTTCTGCCGCATACCAACGATGTGTCAATTCCAGGTACCTTTGGGTATGCTAATGACAACAGACTTGTAGATAGGTACTTGATTCGATTATTTTTTAAGCTACACCTTACTTGGAAAGGGAAGTGAGATGTTTCTTCACACTGGAACAGTTGATTAAACAAAAGCTTTACCACGCACAAATCCGGTCACGTATGAACTGCTGATATGATATGCTGCTCGTTGTCCTGTAGTTACGTACCCTAATCAAAGAAGTTCGTAGTATTTAATTAGCATTATTTATTATTATTAATTAGGACACGATGATATAATGAGTTACGAATTTACGTTTTAATAGATTTAAGACAAAATTGAAAATCCTGAAGAACCCGGTTTCTTCCGTAGCTGAAAGTTATATTATATTCTAAAAATCAATCCTGTTTTCAGCTAAGGCGTTTTGATCAAAATCACAATGAATGCTGGAGTAACAGAACGCAAAGATGCTATGAGAACCCGGACATGAAGTAACCACGTGTACTAACTTGCCAGAGTACGATCTGGTCAAATTAAATGTGTAAGCATGTGCATTGCGGACCAACCGTTACAAAGCGCACCTTTAAATCAATGATTGCATTGAACAAAACTTCAAGGATATGTTCTTATGTGAACTCACATACACAAAATTCTTGATGCGTCCTGATGATTTCAAAGATCATTTAGACATTGATTTCTGCATTAAGCCTGTCAACGAGTATGTTACCATAATTATCTTGGTCCACCATGAGAAGCCGTACCATACTGTAGAATGTTTGAGATTTAGTACAACTAGACTATTGTGCTGTACCTGTTGCGTACCTATGTGATAACAACTTGGCTTGTGTGGCCATGTGTTGTTGAAAAGTGCACTATTGTAATTTAACTATTTGTAATTAAGCAAATTTGATAAAAAAAACAAACGTAATTAGATTACAGGGAAAGTTATCAAAATTTTTGTGATTACAACTTATCCTTTTGTGACGTACTAGCGTGTAGCGTGTGTGGCGTGAAGCAATTACTTTGAGTAGGTCGTTAGTTACTCGTAGGCTTTCAGAAATTGAAAATTTAGTTGCTTTTAAATAGCAGCCAAGTACATATGTTGTAAGTGAATGCTTGAGTTCTATTGTTGCTGTAAATAACGACAGCATTAGCATCACATACGAAAGATGCCTCTAAATAGTCTTCCTGTTGAGTTAGATTTGTTTGATGTTGAAGACAATGTTGAAGGGGTTGGACCTTCCACTTGTTTCAGTTAGAATTGTCAAGCAACATTCACTGTTATTGATAGACTACTAATAGATTTTTTTTATAATATCAATTCTGAAAGGCATCCTAGGCTCAGCCATACACCTCCAACCATTCGCAAGCGTAGGTGCGAAATCGGTCGCATGAGGGTCGCTAGTAGTCGTAGGCAAAGAACTGTCTTACGTTTCGCCTAGTGCCTATTTTGATCGTTAAAATTAATAGAAAGTACAAGTTGTTATTAATAATTAGCACATAGAAGAATTCGTGAGGTCCGTTGGTTCGTTCCGTGGCTTAGTTGGTATAGCGTCTGGCACGGTATGCAAGAAGACGTCGGTTCGAATCCGACCGGATCGAAGGAATTCTTTCTGAGTGTTCGGTCTTTGTATTAATAATTATAACAAACTAGTGGAGTAATTTCACAAAAAATAATTGAATATCAATTCAATAAAAATTTAAATGT